CACCCACACCCAACCCACGCCCACATCCAACCCACACCCATACTCACACCCAATAAAACCATGTATACACTTAATTATACCATATTATTTTAAGATGAATTCTCTTTTCTTTCAGTGAGATATTAAGTGTAAATTCCGACTTTTTACTTGATCACTATTCTTGACGATCGCAATCATAATGGATGAAGTGATTGCGCGTGCAACAGGCTTGATCAATCAGATATTGAAATCATCCTCAGAATCATGTTCAGATTTTACAAAATCTCAGTTAATCAATACTCGTAATGATCTTAATCGACTACTTGAACCAGATTCATCAAGAACTGATTGGATTCGACTGATTTGTCGACAATTGAAACGATATTTGGATTATAATAGTTCACTCACAAATGACTTTTGGATTGAAATGCACAACGATATTCTCTATGCATTAGAGGGATCAAATGGTGGACAAAACGAAGGTAGCAGTTGGAAAAGCTTTCTCGAAAAGATGAACTTAGAAAGTAAACTAGAGCAACGTGAGATACAATTTCAGCAGACTTTTGGAGAACGAAAGAGTTTAAACCAACTACTATTTGAACATCAGAAGTTTTTTAAAAAATATCTCCAGAAATGTATCTCTCTTCATTGTAAATTGCAGGTGCGAGATCTGATAGAAAATCTAGACGATCTTCTTCATAATGTCTACGGATTAACAGAAATTCATCTGACTTCAGAAAGTCGAAAACATCTTGAAGAAAAACTGAAATGCATTGAAATAGTTCTCGATTGCTCAAATAGATCGGTAAACACCCTCCGTCCCTTATATTCCATTTATGATAAATCGTATCCGACAATGAATAACACTCTTGGTAACTTTTTACCTTCGGTCGAACAACTACAATTTGAAAGACTTAGTGGACCCACAATTGAGATTGCATTACAATATAAAGATCGGTGGCTCGTTATCCTAGGTGATCCAGGAAGTTCAAAAACTACTCTTCTCCGATGGCTCACCCGTGTCTATGCTGAGACAGTTCTTCGTAGTAATGAAGAAATAGCTCTAAAAGTATATGATGACAGATCAGTTCGCATTCCTATTTTAATTCGTATCGGTGAGTTTGCATCGTGGCTTAAGCAACACCGAACAAAGACATTGACAGATTATATTGGTAATCATACATGGTTTTCAAAACGTTACTGTCAAAATGATAGCGGATATGTGTTGAAAGAGTTGATATATCATGGACACGCTTTGATTCTTTTAGATGGACTTGATGAAATTGCTGACCTTGGACAAAGAGGAGAGATTGTTGACCTTGTTCGAAAATTCATTGATGAATATGTTCGTGCACCTAATTTTATCTCACCATTTGACGAGGAAATGTTCAACATCGAAACCCTTTTTGATTGGAATGAGAAAATTTTTGAAATAAAATCACCGTACATGTCTGCTGGTAACCAAATAGTCGTTACAAGTCGTATTGTCGGCTATCAGTTACATCCACTTAGTAGTCCTTCCATCATGCATTACTCACTGTCTTCGATGAATAATGACGAAGCAAAGAAATTTATAACTAGATGGATGACACAAGTCGAGGAAGCCGTATTTGAAGTTTTGCGAAGAGAAGGACTTGGAATGTTTGGAAAAACAGTGAAAATTTTATCTCAAAGGCCATTCAATGCTATTGAAGCAGTGTTTAAAAACTGTTCAGAATTATTAATATCCAGTCCATCGTTATTATCATTGATCTGCGTATCTATGTTCCAATCACTCAATGAATTTCACTTCAAATCTCGAATAGAAGTGTACGATTATGCCGTTCAATTAACATTGCGCTCATGGAGAAAAACAAAAGCAAGCATCTCAAAAAGTATCCTATCCAATTTTTTAATCCATCTTGCTATTTATCTTCATTTACAATCATCATCTGGATTAATAGATGCATTCGATATGGAACATTTATGTTGTTCAACTTTAAAGCAATTACGTCTGTTCAATGATCACACAAAACTACGTAATTATGCAAAGAAATTGATATCTTTACTGGACTTTAACGTTGGTATTGTAGCTGAACGAGGTTTACAAATATTTGGCTTTCAACATTTGACATTTCAAGAATATTTTGTCGCACAATCTCTCGTAAGGGGATCCTCTATCGAAGAGATTGCGGAACGTATTCTTTTATTTACAATCAATCCACGCTTTCGTGAATCACTTCTTTTAGCTCTTGGGTGGATCAGTTGGAAATGGTCATCAAATAATTATGATAAGTTTTACAATCTACTTATTTCACCAACTAAAGATTATGCAATTCCATTTGGAACACTTCTTTTCTTTGATGCTTTTAATGAGCTACAAAAATTGCCTTCTAAGACAGTCATCTTTACGGCACTCAACAGTTTACTTGATCATCCATTTAATTTAACTGCAGCGACATATTTAATACCGACTTTATTCAAATTACATGAAAATATTGTTATAGAATGGATGCAATTACATTTGAAAGATGAAAAACGTCTTTTAAAGTTTTGTCGATGTTTAACAAGGACAGTGGATCGATCTTCTATCAGAAGTCAGATTGGTTTGAAATCAATACTAACTGTTGTCTGTCAACAACTATGGTCGTTACATTACATAAGCACATCAGCTCAATTTATCATCGATCAAATTTTACGACGAATAGTATCGTTGAATAATTTTCCTGACGGCGTTTTTACCAATGAGTTGTGTTTACATGTTTTGTCGCAAAATATTTCTATTTCTAATATTCATCCTTTAATACTTTCTGTCATTATTGCAGTATGTGGTGGAATATATTTTAAAAGGGAAAAAGATATTAGTAAAGTTAGTTTTTCTCCAAAAAAGATACATCGTCAATCATCTATCATAGCGCCGATTATTGAATATTTGACTAATAATGAAACGCATTCAATCAAAATTCCAACACTGATCAAACAATATAAGAATGTTGTGGAAAACGCTTTATTAACGGATACTTCCGTTGATATTGTCGATACTTTTATTGGATTGATTTGTTTGCAAAGTGTTTCGCAACCATTGATTTATCAAAAGTATAATGGTTATCAAGCATTACCAAGAGCACTTGATAGATTAAAACGGGTATGGTTCTATTTGAATAAATTGCTTGATTGTACATCCGATTATCATAATGAGATTAACAAAACCTTCATGACATCGGAAATCAAGTTCATCATGAATGTATTTTTCTCACAAGTTAATCATTCCAACAAACAACATATAACCTTTTCGCTATCATGTGCAGCCGCTTGGAAGAAACTTGCCATTGGCTCAACATCAGACTGGTTTGAATTTGACATTTTTCGTACTGAGAACATCGATCGATATTTGGAATGTCAATCCGAGTTCAATCATTCTATCATAAAGAGAAAGCTAGAACAAATTACTAAAAATATTCATCCTTTGCAGATGTTCCAGCAAGCGCCATTTTTCTTGCTTACCTTTGTACCACAATCTCTACAGCCATTGTATTACTGTACGATTGTCTCTCCAATAAAAAATACTGATTCATTTCCTCTAGTTGTGCTTTTGTCACACTGCTTAACGTTCTTGGATAAAATCGATACATATGATATGAATTTTTATCTCGCCGTGTTAATGTTGCTACCATTGTTTAGAAAACACATGCTTGAAAACTATGCTTTGGTACTTTTCGAGCGAGGCAAATCTAGTAGGTTCCCAAATGAAAATCGCGCTGAACTTCTCAAAGTAATGAAAGATTATACTTTTATTGATCAGCCGAAAGATTGGCAAATATTGATCAGTATGGAGCGTCAACGTATTAGCGAAGCGAAAAACGCCATGCAAAACCCTGAGAAAGATTTACGATTTTTCGCTGCATCGATTTGCCTCGCTCGACTATTTCAAGAACAGTATCATTCTCGCAATAATTATGAAAGAAAAAATATTAATCTCTCGTTTATCGAGAGTGAAGAAGTATACTTTGCAATAATAAATATATTCGATCCAAATTTACGCATCATCGCTTTGAGCATTATTTTAGAGATGAAGGATCCGTTGGTTTTTGCTGAAGACCAAAGAGATCAATTGAGATTGGAAATGGTTAGTCTGTTAGAATCTTTACTACCACGTCTCTCATTATTAATGACAACTCTTTTGTTCGTTCGATGTCATATAATTTGTCAAGCTTATCCAGTGCAATTTCAACGCATGGTTCATATAATCGGTGAAAAGTTGAATGCAACCTTTATTAACAAACAAACTGAAGAACAAGAGGCGGTGTTTATTGCATTGCAACAGCTCAATAATTTAGATCTTTCACCTTATCTAACGAAGTTCGCACAACGAATAGAGAACTTGTCCGATCTTCTTCACTTCAACTCCACCGTATTCTTTGAATATTTTATTAACACAACATCGCTTAATCCCTCGAATACTACTCTTCTATCATCCATGTATCTAGCTGAATTGGCGTTCGATGCTCAGATTCTAAAAATGTATACAAATGGTGACCAAGTGGTTGAAATTTCTCCTTTAAAAAAGTTGAGACAGCTATGGAAAAACTCATCGAAATATTCACAGATAATAACTTTTGAAGTTGCAATATTGATTACAAACTATTTACAAATCTCTAACAAAAAAGAATTTCATGAAATTATTAAAGATGTATGTAGGTGTATGGAGGTAGAAAGAAAAGCTCTTCCAATAATTACAAAATGGCTCAATTATCGAAATGATAAAGAGTTGAGATTACTTGCATATTATGCTGCATTGATGCTAACTATCGAAGGTTTAGATATTCCTGATTCAATCGAAATCATTAACGAAATGTTGGTTAATGACAGTGAGTTTTGCTTGAAAAATGTCATTCAACGTCTGTTTAATTTACGACCTACAAATCCCATGATCGTCCGTCAAATATTCATTACTTTACATCAAAATATTCGTTATTCTGCACAACTATGTGTTTCGATTCATTGCAAAGAAATATTAGAATTAATATTAAATTCAGAACTCGAACGAATAACTTCGAATATCCATTATACATCTAAGAACATCACTAAACCATATTTATTAATGATTAGCAGTTGTTCAGAAGATTTAGAACTTTATCTTAAACAATATTTACTTGAATTTGTGGATGTAGCAAATAATTTACAGCATAATATCAAAGAAGAACATGTTGCTATCATTATCAAATGGATAATCGAGATGTCAATAGCTTTATTTTGTCCAACAAAATTCTCGAGTGAATTCTACGAATGGATTTTTACATTTCTTCATAACCAACGATTTCCTCGAGTTCAAAAAGCAATTTTCAATGCTCTGAATTCGATATTTATTGATTATCTTACAGAAGAACATCATGTTCTTATGCAAAATAATACAATTATTCATTTGGAAAAAGTTATTTATTCTTGGAATACATATTCCAAAGATGTTCTAGCTGTTTGTTTACTGGCTTATGGTAATTGTCTACTTAAGTTACAAGAATTTCAAAGAACTCGAAATGTTTCAAACGAGATCCAAAATGTGCTTAGTATTCTTTTTAAAACATTCTCGCCACCAGAGCTTATCTCTATTAGAGCTGCTTTTTGTTTAATTTTCGCTCACCGTTCGAAAATGAAGCTTACTACAATATCGAATTGGTTTGAAAACAAACAAAATATAACACTTAAACAAAGATATAACATACTATTACAATTAACCCTATACAAAAAGTGGAGTGACTTATTTATTCAGGATATAGAACAAATTGTTCAATTTATTGATATGTTTGTCGTCGATCTTTATAACTATTTATGCAACAAAGAAAATAGTGATTATCTTGCTGATCCTATGCCTAACTATGTTGATATAGCACTGCAGTTTTGTGAAAGGTATTTTGGTGTGTTTCGCAGTGCTGTGCAGAATAGTTCTTTTGGCGAAGCAAAGTTTAAAAAGGCATACTCTCTCTATTTTTATCAAACAAATAATTCAGCTGATCGTAAAACTTTAGTGCAACTGTATAATGCGTTTGGTGGAGTTACAGATGATCTTATTGATATGTTAAAATGGATTGAATTTGTTGAGGATGGCGATGGATGGATATATCTTGAACATATAAAACAAATATCCGATAGAGATATGATTGAAAAGATATTTCAATCTTTAGATTTAATGGCATGTAATATTAAATCCCGACGTTTTTCGTCTATATTAAAATTACTTGTTCAGCTTACTCAAACCGATGTTGTATCTTTCTTGGAAGCACATCAACATATCTCATTCATCATTAATGATTTTTCGTTTGAGGATGATGATAGCACATGGGATGACGAGAAAGAGATTTTTGATCTTTTATTAAATCTTAGTTGTATTAGAAAAGTATCCTCATTAGAGTCGAAAGAAAAACTGTTTACTGAGAGTGATATTGACAAAAAATTCAAGAAAGAAATTCAGTATGTTAAGGATAAGTCAGCTCTATTTCTTAGAAGAAATTATTTCTTTACCATATTTCGATCAGTTTCGAGTTGTTATAAATAGGAAGGTTGTCCTATTCTTCTATCAAACACTCGCATCAGCACTCATTCTTTTCCATATTAAATGCCATTATAATAAATTGCTATCACTTATTTAGAGAATTGTTTGTCTTCATGTACTGATTTATGCTTTGTTTGGTTCGGAGCTAAAAGTTTTCTGTATGTTTATTATATACGCATTTTGAACACATGAAATCATATTTTACTGATGTGAGCTTATATAAAATAAAGATACAAAATATCATACGGCGTGTTTCGACAATTGCTCAAATGATCTTCATCATGTAGGTTAAGACTTTAAAAGTACATATGAAAGCAAATCGGTGAAGTAAGAATTTGTCCAACAAAATTCGACAAGAAATTTCCAAGGATTTGGAAAAGAGCTACCACCAAACTTTTCTATCACGGTGAAAGATCTCGTTAGGTAGCTTGAAACTTTGTATGAGTTAGTCCTTTTTTTTGGTTTAAAGAAATGAAACATTTCTCTCATATTGAAAATAAATCAAAGAAAAGCAATGAATGTGTGACTCTAGTGGTGAGTTAAGAACAAGGGGGAAACAGCATACTTTTGCACTTCAAGTACTTTGAGCTACTTTAAGCTACTTTAGGCTTACTTCAAGTAGAGTACTTTGAAGTACTTTACAACTTCAAATTTACTTGCAGTTACTTCAAGCTACTTCAAGCTACTTTAAACTACTTTAAGCTACTTTAAGCCTACTTCAAGCCTACTTCAAGTAAAGTACTTTGCCGTACTTTTCTACTTCAAGTCTGCTGTTTCCCCCTTGGTCAAGAATCAATTTAAGAAAAATATGTTGAGAAGCATGTGAGTTTATATGGAAGGAAAATTAAGAGCATCGCACTAGTGGTTGAAACTGCAGTTGACATAGTCGGCCTGAGCAATTTTTAGAATCTGTTAGCACATCCAAATTAAAATTAATACTTTCGGAGCGATTCGATTTTTGTAGAAAATAGCTTTAACAAGTCCATTTTCATATGCATTCACCTGCAGATAAATGCACATTGTAGTCTTTCTAGTATGTGCTTCTAGTTGTTTTTCTTTTTCTTGTTTCTATCATTTCATAAGCAGCCTCTTTCATGTCGAAATGAATAATTACTCAATTTTGTTTTTTTCTCTTTCTTATATATATTGCGTAGTAGGAACGATATAACCAAACGAAATCTCGATTCTCTTGTGTGTCTAAAAACAACTGAGGTTTTTCGAAGATTTACATGCCGTTTGAAGGAATTGATACAGAAGACAGCGGTAACTCATTGAGTAATGTGAGTGCGGGTGTGGGTGGGTGTGGGGTGGGGGTGAGGGTGAGGGTGAGGGTGTGGGTGTGGGTGTGGGTGTGGGGTGAGGGTGTGGGTGTGGGGTGAGGGTGTGGGTGTAGGGTGAGGGTGTGGGGTGAGTGTGTGGATGTGGATGTGGGTCTTCTCTTCGTTCCTACATCCACCCACACCCTAAAAATAAGATTATTTTTTGATGTTCAACATTATTTCCTCAGTATTCAGGTTTTACTACCCAGTAGGAGAAACCAACGCTGGAAAACCTTAGGATTCTTTAGATTCTCCAGCGATTGGCATTGTGTTACTTTTTTACATCATTGATCGTTCTTTTCGTTCCCGCTGCTAATGAAGAATCAAATACAAAACGCTCCGCTATTGGTGAGATGGAAAAATAGGATATACATTGCTTTAGAGCTCCTTTTTTTTGAGGTGGCGACATCAAATGACGCTGGCGTACTGATCTTTTCAACAGTGTTCTTCGCTTTTGGTTATAATGGCTATGCATCCTTTTGATAACCACCGCTTGGCTTCTTATCACGTTCCTTCTCAACGTATCCAATTGTCCAAGAGGCTATTTGAGTCCTGGTGGTAGCCATGAACATGGCAAATATCAGAGCTGTATGAGAGGTAGGTGGCATTCTAAACTTAAAACTTGCCCAATCTGTTTCAATTATATTCATTTTTGAGGCGTCGCTCAGTACATCGATCATTTTATTTTGACAGATTCTTACATGTGGTTTTGTAGGAGGGTGTGGGTGTGGGTGTGGGTGTGGTTGTGGGGTGGGTGTGGGTGTGGGTGTGGGTGTGGGCGTGGGCGGGGTGTGGG